GGGTGATAAAATCAGAAGTCATTTTGAGAAGGAGATCATCATTTAAGATAGAACTACTCCAGGAACCAGAAGTCACTGAACAACCACACTTGTGGGTGGGATATGGCCGTAAGAGTCAGTCACAAAGAGGAATGGGCTAGTCACAGACTCCCTGAAAAGTTTCAACAGTGGTGACCCCAGGCTGCGAGGGATACTGTTCTCCTGCATTCTGTGGTGAGAAGCCAGGCCAGTCACCTGGGGTCTTCTAAGGGGACCGGGTCCAAAGGGCTGCAATAGAGCCCACTGGACTGCTTGACTCCTCTCACTGCCTTCTTTCAGCATAGAACTCAGGGGCCTATTTGCTTACCCACCACCACCACGATAAGACAAGCGTCTATTTGAATGTTTGCCACGTCCTGGGTTTAGACAGAGAGGCCGCTAGAGCAAGTGGGGAATCCATGATCCCACAGGTCTCAAAGCTAGTTGGGGATAGCAGTGGCTCAGGATGCACGGAAAAGGGTAAACAAACACAAAAGTCTTCTGTAGCGAATATAGCACTGAGGCAGACAGCGTACCATTGACTGACCCTGCATTCACACAGCAGGAAGTGGGCATAGAAGAAGTACAACAGGTCCCAATTTTGACTCATGATCCTTGTCCCTATCTTTTGGATTCCAGTCCCACAGGACATGGAAAATATTCCCCACCCAAACACTCAATGTGGAGGAATTGTTTGGACTTGTTTCTGTTTTTCTCCTTTTTTGATCTTCCTTTTTTCTTGGTTTTTCCTGCTGATTTTACCTAATTCTATTTAATTAAAAAAATTCTTTGAGTTTTTAATCTCACTTTTCTCTCCTCCTTTTCATTCTCCTTCAGTTTGTTCTTCAAAATTTGCTTCTATTTCCATTTTTATCCTTTCCCACTCTTGGACTTTTGTTATTACTATTAACCTTTATTGATTTTTAGCTATTTACTTATTCTATGCTATTATTGTTCATTTGTTTTGTATTGTAGAAATAGCAGTGATATAGTTATTTGTTTTAGTAGGTCTTTAATGTTTTTCAACAACTAATTTGCCTTTGTGTTTCTGTTACTATTGTGATCTCTTTTGTATTATTTTTGCTTTTTATTGGTTTTCACAGTATTTCAAGGTTTCATTTGTCTTTGAGTCTCTACTATTATTGCTTATTTCTATTGTTAATGTGGCAAAGTTGCTGACTTTAGACGATTTTACTATATTTCAATATCTGGTTTCCCACTGTGTCACTGATATTACTGTGACTCATTTTTTTCTGAGTGGTGATAGGGATCAAGCCTCTCTCTAAAGGGCTGGACACTAAGTCCACCCTCACATAAGAGTGGAAGAGATCTCTTTCCCAATACATATACAACTCTTAGTATGGAAACACAAGAATTATGAAAAACAAGGCAACTTACTGCCTAGAAGTGTGTATAACTTATTAGGAATTGAAGGCAAAAATATTACATTAGATGAAAGATCAATGAATTCGAAAGACTAATTTATAAAATAAGTACTGACTTCAAAGAACATACAAACAAAGGTGAATGAAATACGGAAGACAATGCAGAATAAAAAGGGGCAGTTCAACCAGGAGGGAGGTATTCTGAACAATAACCAAATAGAAATCCTAGAAATGTAAAGAACAACAAGTCAAACAAGACACTCACTGGAAAGCCTCACCAACAGACAGACCCAAGCAGAAAAACAGAATTTCAGGGCCTGAAGATGAGCTTGAAGAAGTACTATACACAGACATTAAGGCAGAAAAAACTTCAGAGATGATGAACGATATATCCAAGAACTTTGGGACACAAAAGACCAAATTTATGAATTTTTGGTGCAAAAGAGGATAATGAACATCACACTGATAGCATAGAAAATCTATTTTATGAGGTATTAACAGAAAAGCTCCAAGAATTTGGGAAAGAGATAAGTATCCAAGTCCAAGAGTTATTCAGCATCCCAAATAAACGTGAACATTAAAAAAAAATCTGTCCATGTCACCTTATAGTAAAAATGGCATGAATACAGACCAAGGAAAACACACTCAAAGCAGCAAGAGAGAAATGCCAGGTTGTAGAAGCGGATCTACCAGAATAATTTTAGACTTGTCTGCAGAAACCCTAAAGGCCTTGAGGGCATGGCATAATGCATTTCAAGCCCTGAAAGAAAATAACTGCCAACCCGGAATATTATAAACAGCAAAGCCATCCTTCAAAATTTAAGGTGAAATGAAGACCTTCTAAGAGAAACAAAAAGACATTCGTAAGCATTAAACCAGCACTGCTAAAAATACTTAAAGGAATGCTACACATAGAAGAGGAATAGACTCTTTGAAGCTATTGAAAATAGGAAAGAATGGGGCTGGGGATTTTAGCTCAGTGGCATAAGCACCTGCCTTGCAAGCAGGCAGTCGTGAGTTCGATCCCCAGTACTGGTTAAAAAAAAAAAAAAAAGAAAAGAAAAGAAAATTAGGAAAGAATCAAACGTCAGAAAAACAACAAAGTGACAGAAATTAGTATCTATTTTTCCACAATAACTGTGAATATAAATGACACTAATTCTCTAGTTACACACAGATTGGCAGACTGGATTTTAACAAAGACCCAACTCTTTGCTGCTTATTAGAAAGACACCTCACTGGCAAACACATACACGGAGTGAAAGTGGAACAACAGAAAAAAATTCCATGCCAATGAAACCCAAAAACAAGTAGGAGAAGCTATACTCATATCTGAAAAAGCTAAGTCAGGACAAAATTAGTCAGGCCAGGCAAAGAAGACAATAAATTGATAAAGTGATTATATGTTGGTGAAAAGAACAATCCACAAAGAAGATATAACAATGTAAATGTATGCATACAACATCAGAGATATGCATACAGTATGCATATAACAATGTAAATATACGCATTCAACAATATAAATACATGCATACAACTCAACATAGAGTACACATACATTTCAATATTACAATAGTGAGTGACTTCAGTACTCAAATTTCATAAATAGACAGGTCATCCATAGAAAAAAAACCCAACAAGGAAACCTCAGAGTTAAACTACACCACAAGTCAAATGGACTTAGTAGATATGTAGAGAATATTCCCTCCAACAGTTACAGAATACACATTCTTCTCAGCAATTCATGGAATGTTCTTTACAACAGATCATAGTTTAGACCATAAAACAAGTCTTAACAAATACAAAAAGTTAAAACAATTTTTTGTGTCTTTTCAAGTCATAATGGAATGAAACTAGAAATCAACAAGAGAAACCACAAAAACTACAAAAACACATGAAGACTGAACAACTTGCTTTTGAATGACCAGTGGGGTCTTTGAAGAAATCTAGAAGACTATTAAAAAATTCTTAAGATCCAATGTAAATAAAAATATAACGTACCAGAATCTCTGGAATGGAACAGCAATTTTAAGAAAGTAGTTTATAGCTAAGAGTGCCTGCATCAAAAAATCAGAGATTTCTAATAAATAAACCAATGATGCATCTCAAGGTTCAGGAAAAACAAGGACAAACTGATACCAGTCCCAATAGAAGGAAAAAACTAATAAATATCAAAGCTGAAATTAATGAGATTGAGACTAAAAGAGTAATATACAGGGTTAGTGAAACAAAGAGTTGGTTCTTTGAAAAGATGAACAAGATTGATAAACCTCTGGCCAAAGTTGACAGAAGAGAGAAGTCCCAAATCAGTTCTATTTGAGGAAAAAAATGGAACGTTACAATAGATACCCCTGAAATCCAGATGGTTATTGGAGACTACTTTGAAAATCTATATTCTAATACATTAGAGAATCTAGAAGAAATAGACATATTTCTAAACATACGTGATCAATTAAAACTGAGCCAAGAGAATATAGGAAATATAAACAGATCAAAAAAAGCAATGAGATTGAAGCAGTAGTAGAACATCTCCCAATATAGAAAACCCCAGGATGAGATGGATTCACTACTAAAATTCACCAGAGCTTCAAAGAAGAACCAACACAAATTTTTCTCAAACTATTCTGTGAAATCGACTTAGAGTAGCATCCATGGGAATATTTGCACTAAAGATTACTACAGCACCATACAACTCAGGTTAGATACAAAACCGGTCTAGGTGCCCATTAATAGATGAACAGGTAAGAAAATGTGGTATATACGTAGTGGAGTATTATTCAGCCAGAAAAAGAATGAAATTTTGTCCTTTGCAGAAGAAGATGGAGAGAGAGGGGAGATCATCATGCTAAGGGAAAGAAATCAGACTCAGAAGGACAAACATCACATATCCTAGCTAATGTATGAAATCTAAGAAAGATTATGAGACGGGGAGGAGGCTGTTATTAGACATGAGAAAGGGAAGATTTTCTTTATTACCGGAGTCAGGTCCTCACTGGATGTAATCCAGCGCTCATGAATGAAGTTTTCTGCTCACTCTATTGAAAGCTTTTTTATCTTTTGGTTATGAATTTACTTTATTAATATACTTTGTATACCATGCCATTTCCTTATTTAAGGTATACCATTCATTCATTTTTACTCTATTTAGTTGAACTGTGTAACTTACCACCATAAAAAATTTTTAGACCATCTTAGAAGCTCTCCCAGTCCCCTAACCTCCCAACCTTTAAGAAAGTACTAACCTCTCTAAAATTACTCCTCGGTGTTACTGTCTTGTGGATGTGCCCATTTGAGATCTCTCATATGAGGAGGATCATATAATATATATTAAAACTTATTTTTCAGATAAAATAGAAAACACAGATTTAAACATACAAATCCTCTTTCCTATTTCTGTAATTTTCACTTGCTAGGCTGTATCTCTTCACTGCTTATTTCCTACCCATTCTTTCAAATACATTATTTTAAAAAATAATAAAATCTGCTCATGTTTTATTATTTTAACATTGCTTCTCTCTCTTAAACTTCGCCAATGAGAAAAACGCCTCTTGTTATTTCAACTTGAATTCACGGTCATATAAAAGTGCAAGCTGGTACTCAGGGTTTTCAGGTGCAGCATCCCCTTCAGCTCCTTCACGGTGGCCTCGATGCTCGTTAACTCATTGTGGTGCAGCAGGAGGACGTGCAGGGAGGACAGGCAGCGCAGCCCTCGAAAGAAACCAGACCGACATTGAAGATTATTATTAAGAATACAACAAAGCACAAGAATGGACGCAATGGATGGGGATGTGGGAATATAGGAATAGTAGAATGCCTGTCTTTCTTTCTTTCTATTTTTATTTCTTTGTTTTGGGTTTTTGAGACAGAGTCTTGCTGTGTAGTTCTTACTGGTCTTGAACTCACCGTGTAACCCAGTCCGGCCTAGGACTCACAGCGATCCTCCTGCCTCAGCCTCCCAAGTGCTGGAATTAGAGGGGTGCACCACCATGCCCAGCTCAAAATATTGTTAAAATTGGCTATCACTGTATTTAATTTGTGTCCATCTATTCTGTAGAATGGCAAAATTCCTGTGCTCAAGAACCTTCTCTTGAATTTTGAATAAAACACATGAAAATATTGTGTTAGAAAAGTGTTCTAACAAGCACATCCCTCTCTCTCTCTCTCTCTCTCTCTCTCTCTCTCTCTCTCTCTCTCTCTTTTTACAAGAACATTTCTTAAAGATGAAATATGTAAGAATGTATAGCTCAGCCACACAGCACCTGCCTGGCAAAAGCAAGGTTGTAAGTTCAATTCCTGATACGAAAAAGCAGTTTTAAAAATAGACCATCACATATTTTCAACAGAAATGTTAAAACAGATTTTTTTTACATTATTATGAGTTACTACAGTTGAAAGTTGTTACTTATTGAAAATTTATTCGACCAGCAGAGAAAATTTAAAACATACCTTCTATCTCAAATAGTGCATTATTGTTTAGATACAGTTCAGTCAGACAGTAGTTTCTGGTTAAAAATGCGATCCCACTGAGCTGAAAACGGAAGTTGGAAAGTAATATAGTTTCGACAAGTTACAGATCGATTTACAATTTTAAGAGGACAATAAGTATTCGACCTTTGCAAGTACTACTTGTGACCTTTTGGACTAAGCTATGTGGTAGATCTGGGTTGTCTCTGAGGATTGTGTGATAGAAGGGATGTTTTTGGTCAAACGAAAACAAACTTGCCTTGCCACATCCTGGCCAAACGCCCTCTTCGGACTTTCAAAGACTGCAATCTGGCCTCGCCTTTGCTCTCTCAGTGTTTCTCCCAGTTCTGCTCACATAGTTGTACCGACTGGGTGCACACACCCTCTGATCTGCCATCTGTCACTATCTCTAGCCAAGGGCTCTGCTCAGATAACACTGCAGCCCTTTCTGCGTCCCGATGAGCTATGGTTTCCCTTTGTGCTTTCTTTCTGATTACACTTAAGGATCAGTCGCAGGGCGACAAGACACTCTGACCGTGCAAGGGTGGACCATCCCAGTACCCTGGAACACTTTTAGAGGTTTGTTGAACTACCCTTTCTCCTCCCCGCGGTTTACGGCTGACTTCTCACTCTGCTACAACCCATTTCTGTGTTTCTCGAAACTTCTTCCTGCTCTGACCCTTTTAGTCAGACCTCCTGAATCACGGTGGCATTCTGAACTCTCGTTTGCCCTCGTCTGTAAACCATCTCTTCCTTTCTATTTCATGTTATTCTGGCACACAGAGCTCCCTGGTTTAGCCAAAGACAAGGGAAGCTACCCTGCCAGTCAGTCCTGATAGCCAACAGCTCAACACTACGGCCACAACTCGAAGATGAGACACAAGATAATCCAATATCTCTGTTACTGTGCAGACAATCATTTTCACATGACCTTTTGTGACCCTCCAATATGTTCATGAATCTGAATTTTCTTCCTTACTTCAACATTTGTTCCTACACAATCAATCACTAGATCACTAACTAGAGTTTTGTGTCTTCTTAAGATGAGAACTGTACTTCTCCAGGATCTTATTCTCACCATTTCCCTGCTCTTCTAACAATATAGTGAAGATGCATCTTATTTTCACGGTTTGGCTTAAAATTCAGCATGTTTAGGCTGGGGAGATAGCTCAGTGGGTGGAGTACTTGCCTAGCATCCACAAGGCTCTAGGTTCAATCCCTAGTGCCAAGAAAGAAAGAAAGAAGGAAAGAAAGAAAGAAAGAAAGAAAGAAAGAAAGAAAGAAAGAAAGAAAATTCAGTGTGTTTAAAATACAGATAGTCACAAGTACGCTCTTTAAAGTTCCTCAAATTGGACCATTAAGAGTAGGTTTCATATATATAATTATATAATAAATATTATACAATATATGAAATGGGATATTCAATGCCAGAAATCCTTGTCACAAAGAGAACCCCTTTTAAAAATACATTAACTCTATAATCTTGATAAAATTTCACATCTTTGTTTGAATTATGAGCCATGGTAAGTGTGTAAAGGTCAGCTCAGGTAGCTGTAAGAGCAGCAGAGAAGTTAAAATATAGAAGTGTTGTCTGTACTATTTAATATGGGATCGAGCTGAGAAAGAATCTCATGAAGTAGTTACAGGTCAAGGACTAAGTACTTATATATACAACAAGATACTCTTATGATTAAAACTTTGTTTTTCTAAAGCTTATCATAGAAACCATCATTATCTAAATAGAAAAGTTTTATCATTGGGGCTGGGGGATATAGCTTAGTGGTAGAGTGCTTGGTAAGTGTGAGGGCCTGAGGGTGATTCCTGGTACCGAAAATGAAAGGAAAGAAAGAAAGAAAAGTTTTTATTTTTATTTATTTAAAAGGAAAAAGAGAAAAAAAAAACCAGAAAAAAAAACCAAAACAGTGTAAGGGTACAACTGATACAGAATTACAAAAGAAAAAAAAAAAACAGTAAGAAATCACCAGTTAATAGATTACACACTATCATTTTTGAAACGGTTATTCAGGTCACAGGATCAAAGCATACAAAGTGAACATTCAAACAGCAAGACTGCAATTAGTTGTGTTCAATGATCCAAACAAAAATATTAATACGGTCATCTATTTAACACACCTAAACATGCTTGCTGTTGTATCCTTTAGGACACTTTTTCTTTCCCTCTCTTTATTTCAACAAAATTTATACATTTTGGGTTTTATTGCCCCCATAGATCTTATTACTTTTTTTTGGTAAGAGAATAAAATCAAGCATGATAAAACAAAGCTGTCAGTCAAAACCAAGGGTAGACATAGCACATGATGTAAAAACAGAGTACAAGGTTATCAACAATGGTTACCATAATGCCTCTTGCTTCCTTAAGAATTGTCTATCTCATTAGGTATTATAAAGTTGACCTAAACAGTAGAGAATAAGACCTATAAAACCTAAACATTGTAGACTTTACAAAACTTCAAAAAAGGATAATAGTCAAACCAGAGTGGGCATCAATGTGAATCTTATTGCCTTCAAAGTAGTTGTCTATACTGTTACTTAATACTATCATAAGAGCGGAACAGAGTCTAATCAGTCAAAACAAGATAGTGGGAGTATTACAGGACTTCAAGTTAATAGGAAATCAAAAAAGTCACTATAATATATCCTGCTAGCTTTTTTGATTTTTTCTCCTTAGTTTAAAAAAGAAAAATTAAAAAACATTAAATAATTTTTTAATGAATAAGGGAGAGGTTAAGATAAAAGAGGGCATAACAACATAACAATACAGGTCAAAGCATGACAGTTTCAGCAACCTAGTGCTTCACCACCAAATAACCCGACTTAATAGTAGTTACCATAGTGTCTTTTTCCTTGAAATATTTGAATATAACTTCATATGCTATAGCATCAAACATATCAAGACAGTTAACACCATTCAAGTGGATGAAAGCATTGTAGAGTATTTAGAACCAGCTAACAGAAAAATGAACAATGGTTTCTATATTGTCTCTTTGCCTATAACAATTTTTGTTTGTACTACCCCATATGATAAAATCCAGCAAGATACAATATGATAAAACCAATGGAGACCAATGGAGAAGAGCAATAGTTTGGTGGGGCTTTAAAACAAGATGGTATTAAATCAGCACTAGCTATTATGATGTCTTGTTTTCTTCAAAATAGCGGTTCATTGCATCACAGGCCATAATATCGAACATCCCAGAAAAAAAGAAAAGTTTTATCACTGAGAAGATTTTGTTAAACAGCCACCAGCCCATCTGACAGTGAGGATTTTTTGCATACCCTATAAAAGCCACTTTAGATTGCATCCAAAGCTTGAAAGCGGATTTCTTTGGTGAATTTTCTTGTTTCTTCCTATATCAATAACATCCACAGGTCGTGGTGCTCCACAGGGAGCACATCCCACTCACCTCATCATCCCACTGACGCATCTCCACCACCGCACACCAGCACTCCATCAGCAGAACCACCAACGATCTTACCCTGGCTTTCATTAAGGCCTGTGAAGAGCCGCATTTCCCCAAGGTAGGAAAAATCATTCACAGTGAGAAGGGAAGAGCCCCCACGGGCTCCCTGTGCCTTTTCACTTTTTCTCTTGTTCTCCTGGCAGCAATTCAGTACCTTCTGTGCTTCCTTTCACCACTCCCTGCTCTAATAATAACCATGCTTGACATTAGCGTAGGCAAAGAAGGCCAGTGGAAATCATGACTTTTTCTTCTCTTTCGTTTCCATTTATCTCCTGGCCACCCACGAATAGAATGTTATTAATTGGTTGAGGCTAATTTCTCTTACATCACTCATCCACAGGAGATGCACATTACTAAACCTGACCTTTCATCATGGCTCTACAATCACAGATTTCCCAAGAGCACTGACAGTCTGGGATCCTGCTGTTGGGATATGATGAGTGTACTGTTTGCTGAGGTTAAGAGGGACAAGTGGAAAGAGATGAAGCCAGATCCTGATGACTTGGGAGCTATTAAAGGACCTCAGCCAGGCATGGTGGCCCATCCCTGTAATCCCATCACTCTGGGGAGGCAGAGGCAAGCGGACCATCACATGTGAGACTAGCTTGGGCAATCTAGTTACTTAGTGAGGTTAACTGTTAAAAAATAAGAAAGGACTGGGAATGTAGGTCAGTGTGAAGGCTTGGGATTTAATCCCTGGTACTGCACAAATAACAAAACCCACTCAGGGTACAGCAACAACCAACCCAAACCAAGTCACAACTGTCAAAACTGATAAGCGTATTCAGTAAAGTCACAACATCAGCATATGAAAAATAGTTGCATTTCTATGTGTTAGCAACCTATCCAAAAAGGAAATGAAAAAACAATTCAATTTATATTAGCATGAATTACCAAAAATACAGTGGGGTCTTGGTTTGGTTTGTTCCATGACTCTGGTTGAGAACTGAATTGGTTACGAACTTAATCAAACTTCCCCATAAAGTTCAATGTAAATAAGGTTAATCTGTTTTGACTACTACTAGCATAGTCTTGAACCAATTTTAGTTGCAAACTGCGTCCAATTTTCCCACAAGGTTCAACGCAAATACAGCTAATCTATTGTGAGTCATATGTACTTTTTAACCACAAAAATACTAAAGTACAGTACAGTATGAAGAGAGAGAGAGAGCATTAACCCTGCTTGAGGTAACTTGTGGCATGGAGGACAGTAAGGTGGGTGGGGGGAGGTTACTCTTTGGAGGGTGAGCCCCCTCCATAAGGAGATCAATGAGATCTCCTCCAGGGGTTCCTCTCTTCTTTGTCTCTCAGCTGCAGGTTCAATTTTGATGAAAAAAAATCTGTCTAATGTCACTTCTGTTTTCCTGTATTGCATAACCCTCCAGAAACAAGAGGTCATGTGTTATCTTCCATCAGATTCAACACTCTGGTTGTGTTGGGATGGTGCTTCTCAAAGAAATCCTGGCACTCATTCCATTTTCCCATAATGGATTTTATTGCATCACTGTTAACCTCCTCCCATCTTCCTCTTCTTCAGGAAATGCTCCTCAACAAGTGCCTTCTGCTGCTCACTCAGGGGTTC